AATCAACCCGATACGTTAAACCACCACATCGGACCAGACCGATGACCAGACCAGGACCAATCCTACCAGGTTGGTTGCTTGTGGTCGCAGAATTTCTCTCATGAAAAGGTTCAAAAGGGCACATGTTTTTCAAAACACTTCGCTGGACCAACTGTGGGAGTATCCAAATCCAGGTCCCAGCTAAACTAAGCTAGGACTGGATCTGGATACTCCACAGTTGTCCCAGCGAAGTGTTTGAAAAAACAGGTGCCTTTCCCCCCCTTTTTAACCTTTTTCATGAGAGAAATCTGCCGACCACCAGCACCCCACCTGGTCTGATTCTGTCCTGGTCTGGTCCTGGTCTGGTCCGATGTTGGTGGTTTTAACGAACGGGTTGAATGTTACTTCATATAGTCAATTTCAGATATCTTGAAATCGCTCCGACAAGCACCATAACTCATTTTTTGTTGTCCACCATGAATTCACAAGATTTAGCCCAAATAAATACACACGCGTAAATAGGAGAACACAGTATAACTCAACGAGTCGTACACAATGTTTTGTCCGAAACATGCGCTCTGCGCAGTCCTCTGAGCTATTTTTGCACATACGGAAACCGACAGTGCCCAAAGATGTCTTAAAATACAAGGCCCATCTCTTCACAAAGGTTTAGTATACCAAGCTGGCCACAGAGATGCAAATAGTTCAAGGATGTTGTAAGTGCCATAAAATGAGTAGGTTTTTTTGTGAAGGGGAAAAAAATACATTGATTTTCAAAATAGTAATACCACACATTAATGCATCGGGGAAAAATAGGTGACAAACTCAACAAAGCCAACAAACTTTGCAAAAGTACGACCAGAATAGTCCATCTGCACGTGGGCTTCCTGTGGCTCAGAGTATAGAACTTAAAACAGCTCTGCTTGTCTACAAGTCTCTCTATTGCCCTCGTGACCAAAAATATATTAGTGACATGTTAGTCCATATGAACCACCCGGACTCTGAGGATGCACAGGGACTGTACTCCTCTGGCACTCCTGAGAGCACAGGGACAGGACTCCTGTCTGGGACTCTGAGGAGCACAGGGACTGGACTCCTGCTGGGACTCTGAGGAGCACAAGGAACTGGACACCAGCTGGACCTGAGACACATGGTACTGGACTCCTGTATTCCCAAGTCAGAACTAAACAAGGAGGCTGCTTTTTCAGATTCCTGTTGCTAAAATCCTGGAACAGTCTATTCCTGAAATGTTGAGACAGCCTCCTCACAACAATGTTTAAAACCAGTTAAAGACAGTTCTGTTTTACTGTGCTACAACCTGAGAGAGTGATTAATTGATTGACTGCGGAACCTTCCGCAGTCAACCATTGTTTTGTATTTCTTTATTCCGTCATTTTTGTTGACACGTTTCACAGCTTTTCACATTTTCAACAATTTCCACAAGTTAAACATCAAAACGTTCCACATGTTAGGGAGAGTATTGCTATTACGTTTGGGACTTCAGCGAATTTCCGTTTTTTCCGCAATCGGCCAAAAATCGCATTGATAATTCTGCAATGCATTTTAATAGGCCCATGCATTTTTTAAATAGGACTTCAGCTCTTCAGACATTTCTACAGTTCAATGATACAACATTTTCCCTTCAGCTTCACAATTTCAGACTGAACATATTTTATATTCTTCCCGTGACGGTCAACATCCACCACAACCCGCGCCACCGTAGCTGTCAGATTTGCCATTTGTTTGGATGTATTTTCCGTTGTTGCTTCAATAGCTGAAACTGTCTAAAAAGTTTCATCTTGCTTTCTGGACAGCTCCTTCAGTGACGCTAGCACATCACAAAGGCTAATTGCCTCGTTCTTGGCGCCGTCCCCGTTACTATCAATTTTTTTCCGTTTGTGGATAGACTTTTCAGCTGCGTTAACAGGTGTACTGTTCTCGTTGACATTTACAGCACCCTGAACCTTGTTCTCACTGGTTTCCATTTCTTGTGTGGATATCTCCCCCGTTGGCTTCTGTACTTCACAGTTTCTTTCCATTTTGCCGTCGGGAAATATAAAAGCTAGCTTCCCGCGCCTCAATTAAAATGCCGTTTTTCCTCACCTTAAGCGAAACTTCAGACCAAAAAGTGTTCCAACAGGGTTTCGTCACTCAAGCTTTCAATAGTATTAGGTCACAGTCCCATTTGGTTGTCTTTTTTGCGATTTCTCAATTTATAGACAGGGGAGCAACGCTGTCATCATGTCAAGCGGCCCCCTCTCCCTCTACCCTCACCACTCTCGGCGTGTCGTGAACTATGAAGTGGGCATATCTTGAAGTGACGTCACTCACACGTCTGTCTTGCAGGCATGATCTATGCTTGTAGGCTGCAGACAGATACATGTATCTCAACCATCGATCTATTATAATAACGATCTCAAAGGGCAGACCACTTCGACAGAACACCTGTTGTAGGTCAAGTCAGGGCCTTTTAAAAAGGCCCTGACTTGTCATTGTCATTGTCAATGTCATTCATCTGCAATAGAAAATACTGTATGTACAAAACTGCACTGTTCACTGAATGTCACTTCATCTACTTATCCTGCCCTATATGTATATAACGATGCACTATATCAGTCTGTACATCATGTATGTGTATATATCAGACTGTATATACTATATATATACACACACGATGTGTAATATATATAATATGTATATACTATATATATAAATATACACACACGATGTGTAATATATATATATCATATATGATATACATATATGATATATATCATATATATATTATATATATGACATATATATATGTCATATATATATATATGTATATATGATATATATGATATATAGATATAGATATGATATATATCATATCATATATCAAATGAAGCATATGAAGCTAGCTAAGAAACATCTTACTACAGTCCTGGATGTGCGCTGCTCCATCTAAGTTAAATCCTCCAGCTCTGGTAGTCCTAACCAAGCAGAGCATCAACATCTGGAGATGGGTTCCCGGACGCTGTACTACGGCGACCACTGCTCCTGAAGTAAGCCCTAGTGGCATCAGGATGGGCCAAATACAGACAATGAATTGCCGAAAGGGGGAATAATATAGTGCACCTTTACCTTACCTAAAATTGGACGAATAAAGGATCTTAAACATTGGAACGCCCCCACCTAGTGGTACAAGTGCGGAATTACTTTAAGAAATGCTTACAAGTCGGCAAGGAAAACTTTGACACTCAAGATATTCTAAAATGCTTCAAAATTCATTCCAAACTACATTTCCTTGTAATGTGTGTGCAATACTCAACAAACTGCCTCTGTCAAACATTGAAAAGGAGACACAGAAAAGAGGCGGGTGTCAAAACCACATTTTAATTTTTTATTTCTTCAATGTTTAATACCATGGGACAGGATTGTAAGAATGGAGACCTTGTTTCAGTCAATAATTGCCTCAGAAGGAATAGAGGATTTGTATAATAATATTAATAATAATAATAATATAATAATATATATATATATATATATAAAGTCTGCATTGGTGTGGTCAGGGAGGGGTAGACAGAAAATGTACAAGAGAGAGGCACCTATATTATCCCCAGCTGGACCTGAACATTCAAGAAGTGTAAGAAAGTACACGTCGAACCATTGGAGGCAAAGGACCAGTGTTCAATGTAGCCAGGAGAGTTCTGCCTGGCAACAACTGCAGACGGCTTTTTATTTAAGACCGAAGGATCTGGAGAAAAGGCTTAATCTGCTAATATTAGGACTGGAATTAAAAAGTCTAAGTGCTTGTGAGTTTTTTAAATGTTTGGGATCACACTCAATGGATCAATGTATTCAAATGTATTCGGATATTGCCTATATGTCATGTTGGCCTGTGTTTACGAGTCTATATAATTTGCAGCTAAAAATATATATTTGAATAGTTAGCACCCACTTGGATAATTTTGATCTTAAAGAGACCATTCTATATCTGGATAAATGGCTTTGGCAATTTGACAATATATGTGTGTGTGTGGGCAATGGGTGTGTGGTTACACCTTATGTTACATTATGTGAGTAATGAGTGGGTCTTTTTGTACAGAGTTTGCATGTTCTTCTTGTGTCTGGGAGGGGTTTCTTTAGGTACTATAAGTCAACCAAAAAGATGTATAACATATTTTACTATTGGCCAAAATTTTTTTTTTGTCTTTGCTTGTAGTATCAAGACAAAACCCAGCCCAGAGAAACGTTTAAACCGGTTTGGCACTACCCAGCATTGCATAATATCAAATACATGAGAAGTATTGATTTCCAATAACCCATGTCAGATGTTTCCAGAGGGCCTATAGCACCATCATGTTTAACGCAGGGTTTCTAACAATGCATGCTTTTCAAAAACAAACCAATAATATAATTTTTTTAGAATTCAACTATAAGTAGGGTTGTTCAGAAAATATGAAAAGAGGGGTGGTGAGATCTGCAGTAAGCCGTTTGTCAGTGTAGTCACCTAGAACTTGCCTGCCACTGTCAATGCACCGATTCTCAGCTTCAAAACCGCCAATTTCAGACTTCAATTTTCCTTGTGTGTCTAAAAAGGATTTTTAAAAATAACAGAAAAGACACCTGACACTCCGTATCCTATTAAAAACCCAGGAAAACGATGTTAAGTGCGTGTTATGGTCAGCTTTTCTGAACGCTTCCACGCAGCTTTTAACATTGTCCGTTGCCATTCGAGATCCGCAAAAATCATTCATCCAAAAGAACCAAAAACAACTAAATATATCATCGGCTTTCTCTCAAAACTCTGATTTTTATAACCGTGAGAGGAGTAAAAAAAGACAACCTTCGAATGACTCTGTACAACACGTCGCTGAATCGGCCAAATGATATGGGAAAGTCAACTCAGGACTAGTTGGTTGTTGTTGTCGTCATCTGGGGTGTTTGGAACCCGGATTATTATTTTTTTGCTCGATAGATTTCTCGTTGCTCTGTGGGGGGTTGGGGAAGACGCTTGGCCACTTGATTGGTTATCTTTACAAGACGAACTTCCCCATGAAAAAGCCGATGAAGATGGCAGCGATGACGACACACAGGGAGGGCAGGGAGGTGACGCTGGCCTGGCCGGCCAGGAGCCCGGTGGAGTTAGAGCTCATGTGGTCGGCCCGCTGCAGCTTCCTCATCCGCGCATTGTCCTCCTGGATACACACACACACACACACCGTTAAAAAAAGTGAATATTACGACTGGAGTCAGCTAAAGAAATTCAAGGTATTAAAAAAGCCCAGTCAACCAATTAGTCACCTAAAACAACGCATGGTATTGTTTTGAGAATGGTCCCTTATTTATCGCAGGGTTACATTTTAAAAATAACCTTTCCGCAGCTACATGTTTTAAGGCTGTAAAAGCACTCACTACACACTTATACACCTGAACTCACAGCACGTATTTACTGTCCTGCAGCTGTATTTTAGTGTATGCATGGCTTTGACAGCTAAGAGGCTGGAGCAGGACTGAGGCACAAAAGTTACCCTTGGACTTCAATTTAAAAGGTAAGTGTCATGCTATGCTAACTGATTGCTAAAGTTATATGTTTTTATTGTGTACACGCAGAAGTACACTGCAACTTTGTGCTAAATAAAATAGGGCAACAGCAAGGGCACAGAAGATTAACTTTGTTTTATTTTTGTAGTGTGAATGGAGAGACTTTAAAATTCGAAGCTCAACATTTACTAATCAATTTAACATACACACTAGGGCTGGGCGATATGGCTGAAAACTACGGTACATCACAATATAAGTGTCGATATCAATAATTATTGATTATTCTTTTGTTTTACCTAAATAAATACATTAGTCCTGTCGGCTAACACTTTAGCAGCCCTTGTTTATAGTCATGGGGGAATGAGAAAGACTGGAGGCATATGTTCAAAAGCACTGTGTCGCCCATTGTCGGTCCTGGTTTAATACTGGTTAAGTCCTAGTTCATCTCTTGCTTTTGCCGCATGCATAGGGTCTCTGTACCCACTGCCTCTACCGCGCCGCACATGCTATTCCTCGCACGGACGTGCAAAACTATTGACACAGCATTGAAATACAACGGTTGTTTTTTCCGTGATAGGTCGTGGAGCCTCTGCCTACATCTCCCAGAATGCTGCGCGCGTCAGACTCTGCTTTACTTCCTGTGTTTACTTCCTGTTTTTTCTAACGGAGTGAAGTTATCGAACACTTGTCTATCGCAAATATTTATCGTTATTGTTTTATCGCCCAGCCCTAATATACACACAAAACAAATTGATTGTATTGAATTACATATAGAATAGAAGGTTTGCTGTATTAAGTTACATATGGCCCCAGCGTGGGTGCGGACCTTTAGTTGCCGGATCTCCTCGCTCATCTTGCCGTGCTCCTGCTGTAATCTCTTGTATTTCTCCTGGACCTTCTTGACCTCTCCGTCCTCGCCACTCACGGCTGCTGGAGCCACAGACTCAGACTTCAGCGAGTTCACTCCCGGAGACGCTTTCAGGGACTCCACGTCATTCTGGGTAAAAGAGACAAGGACTGAGCAACCCTTTCAATAGCAGCTTTGTATAGTCAAAGCTGTACAGATAATATTGAAAATATTATCCTATACTTGTGCTATTTCACCAAGTTAGATGCCAAACTGATTGTCATTGCATTGTTCTGGCATTGAAATGACAGTAAAGTTAAATCTATTATAATCTAGACGCTCCGCTGGGGGACTAAGTTCACAAACATTCAAAAGAAGTTAAAATGATATGAAGTGTCGATGTGTTGTACAATAAGATTCAGCTATAGAAGAATAGGTTGTGTTCATGTGACATCACAACATCTCAAAGAGCCTATAGTGTGTGGGGAAGGACAGCTGAAAAACCTTCATGGTCAAAGGCTTGCAGCCAATTTTTCTTCGAGATATCTTTTGTTCCTTCAGACTTTAAGGTGCAGTAAGCGATTTTGTTAGCTTAGCCGTAGAACCAACTAAAAAGCACTCCCCCCTCCCCTCTCCATCTAACCAAACATCTAGAATTTTCTTTTCTTTGTCACAACAGGGAGAGTGGATGGTAAACGTGAAATTGGCATCAAACCAGGGATGATGAAGGATGTCTGTGTGTATGCCTGCCTGTGTATCTGTAGGCATGTATGAAAGTACAGTGGTTGAAGTAGCAGCTATATGCTTTAAGGCTGTAAAACCCCTGTACACTGTAAAATACAGCTGCAGAGGACACCGCGCTGAAGGGCAGGAGTAGGACTGAGAGCTTTGGAAAAACTGCGGGGGGATAAAGGTATATGATGTTCAATTCAATGTATTTTGTATAAACCTACATCAAATCCGTAGTAGTCTCAGGGGAAAGTTTCACCAACACAGATCAGAGAATCAAGCAGTTCAAACGGAAGAGTGAACTCTGAATAAATCGCAATTAAATCGTAATTTTTTCCCTGATCTAAAAGTCCCTTGATTTGGTTTGAACAGCCACTTTTGGGCTTCCGTTAACAGCATTATTCTATTTCACACGTTAAACTGACCGCACTAGTTGGAACCAAAACCTTCACCGGCTGTGACAACCCTGTTGTCGCCACGCATGAGATGCATGCGTAAAAAAGCATTACAAAAATTTGCACACAAAAAGTATATGAAACAGTGACCCACTACTGTATGGCTGTGTCAATCTCTCCTCGGCCAATCCAGATTAAACTGTCACATTTTCTTCGTCAGTACAAGTCATGGATCTATAATAATATCTGGATAGGGTATTACTAGCTTTTAGCTGTCTCACCCATGGGCACAGGGGGTGCCTGTGGTACTGCATACTAAATTCACGTGGGCTACCCAGAAAATGTTTCCATAAAACTCAATGCAAACTAAAACAGCTCGACCTCAGCTGACAGAGAACCTACAGCTTTCATAAAGGTCGGATTTTGTGGGGATTTTAGTGTCCCTTGTCATCCTGAACTTTTACTGCCACAAACTCTGCTCATTATAATCCCGCCCTGGCTCCGCTCTACTGCTGCTCTGATCAGCAGCTCTGATTGGTCAGAACGTGGCCAAGCCCCTCTGTGCACGTGCATGAGAGCCCACTGGACTAATATTAAAAACCACTGTATCTCATTTATAGGAGTTGATTTATGGAACAAACTCGATAACCAGTTAAAGGTAACCACATCCATAAAAGTGTTTTAAAAAAAAAGTATAAAGCAATTGTAATTGATACTTATAAAACTTTAGAATGATGCCCTTTTGGGAAAAACTCGATCTATGTGTATGTAAGTTCATTAATGCATACTGTATATGTGTGTGTATGTGCATGTGTGTATGTATATATATGTGTGTATATTGTGTGTATATATATATGTATATATATGTATATGTGTATGTATATATGTATATATATGAATGTATATGTGTGCATATATGTGTTGTTTTTTTTTTTTCTTTCTCTGGTTCAGTTACTTATCATTTCTGATTCTACCAAAATCACCAGAACTCCATTCTGAGGTCAGTTTGAGAAATTATCTCAACAAAAATCTGGTTTGGCAGTTCCTCTTGTGTCATCGCTCCAGCTGCACTGACAAATTGATAATGAGGGTAGACATGGTGTGGGTCTGTTGGGTAGAGGACCCCTCCCTCCAATAGGTCCATAAAGCCTTGTCTTTTTAATGCACTACACAGAACAGGTTCCAGACACAGAGGGGGCTAACAGCTCTCAATGCACCACATGTTGTAAAAACAATGAAGATTACATTTATTATTGCGATGAACTGGATGGAACATAAATTGATAAGTATTGCTTATTGTTTTGTTTGTTTGCATCAACAAGATAAAAATGATGGCAAAAATCAGGAATGTCATGTGAAAATTTAAATATTTTGCAGCCGCTTAAATTAATTTATTGGTAATGGGGAAGGCACATATAAGCTTTTTGCTTCGGCCTTCTCCTTTTGAGCCTTTTTTTGTCTTTCTTGAATTATTTGTGCATGTTATTGTGTATTGTAAAACTGCTCAAATAAAAACTACTACTACTACTAACTGGGAGGACCAGACGATGCACGATGTAGCTAAGCAAGTTCAGCTACTCTTTCGGTCCCCGTGTATGTCCCATGCGATACTGAGCACAAGCCATTCATTTGAATAGGACAACATCTTGGATCGACGGGGCTTGGTACAAGTATAACTATGGTCTAATAACTTTCCCAAACATTTTCGCTCATCAGTTTGTATGTATTGTTCCTATTTCAGATTTTATATAAATGCTATCACTTTCTTTGTTCAAATTTTTAAACACGGCAGGAGATCGTTGGTCTCACCACTTTTTCGATTTCAGAAGGCATCTCGAACACGCATCTCAGTTTGGAATCCATGAGGTCGTCGGGTTTGGCTTCTTTCCACTGAGCAAGAGAGAAAACAGTCATCACACAAAAACTGCTTCAAAACATTTACTTTTCACATCACTTTTCACAATACGTTCCAGCTCGGAGTAGAGCCGCTGCTTCTCCACATCGAGAGGAGGTTAATATTTAGAGATCCTTTTTTTGTCCCACAGTGGGTAAATTTCAGTGTTGCATCACAAATTACAGTCAGATTGTTTTTTTTTTTTTTTTGGTTGGGACAGTACATGTTAATGAACACATCACTCCGGATTGTAGCCATGAGCTAATTTTCATCCGTTGTCCCACATTTGCACGCACACACACTCATTCACCCTGAAGTATTGTACATGTTTTTAGTGGTAGAGGAAATGCCCGTACCCGGAGGAAACCTACGCAGACACAGGAAGAACATGCAAACTCCACTCAGAAAGCCCCCGCTCCGACCGGGATTCGAACCCAGATGCCACAGTTGTTGAGAAGCGAGAGTGCTTGCCACACAGCCATCGTGCCGCCCAATGAGGAACAGCTTAAAAATGAGCTGTGAGCGTGAGCTTAAAATGTCAATGATAAAATACTAGAAAAGTTTTCAAGATAGCAGAACACCATAATTGGAAACTAGCTGTATAGCCAATATACACATTTACTGTTTATTACCATGTACTGTCCCTATTCAAATAAACTAATAAATAAATTAATCAGAATCCTTTTTATTACCATTGTAAGCAACAGGAAGTCACAAACTAGGAATTAGCTATGGCTCAAGGTGTAAACAAAAGCAAAAATAGGTAAAGGTATGCACAAAATTTTGCACAACCTTTTTTTAATTTGTTGCATAAAGGGCAGGGGACATGGTTCATGAGTCCAACTGCAGAGGGGAAGAAACTGTTCTTATGGCGGGAGGTTCTGGTCTGTAGCCTTTTGCCTGAAGGGAAGTGGTAGGAATCGTCCATGTGGAGGTTGAGACAGGGGTCTGCACGTCCCAGACAGTGGCTCCAGCGAACCACACTGTGATGGAGGTGAGGATGGAGGTGAGGATGTACTCGATGATGGCCGTGTAGAACTGCAGCAAGGTCCTGGGTAATGGTGGTGCCCAGGAATAAAAAGGACTCCACTCCATGCTCTTCCTGAAGTCCAGAATTATAAAACAGTCTTGTCAGGATGTTACCACTGCACCAGGATAGCAGCAGGACCACCTCCCCCATGTAAGGGATAAGTCCAATAAGGGTGGTGGTGTTCAGCTTCACAAAGTCATGACTGGGGGTGCAGTGGTTGGTGAACAGGAAGAAGGGCATTGGAAAAAGAACACAGCCCTGTTGAGCTCCTGTGTTTGTAATCTGGCGAACACGCGGAGCATTGCAAATCGCTTTGGTTGACATTGGTCTGTAAAATGTTTTATATAAATAAACAATACTTACCATTAATATATATATAGCATTCATTCTTCCACTTTTTGTTATACCTTATTTTTGGCGAGCATCAACTTGCTCATTTCATACAATTTTTTGTTCTGAATTAAAGCAATAGTTTTACTACACCCTCATTACATTCAAACCTGTTGAAGAGTTTTTAGTGAACTAGACCTGTGCCAAATATAAAGGCAAGGCAAGTACAGCACAATTCATACACAGGGCAAGTTAAAGTGCTGAACAAGACAAAATAGCATTAAAATCCTAAATACATTAAGTACATTAATGAGAAAAAAATATAAAATCCCTCAGTTGTATGCACAGCTAAACAGAACTGTCTTTAACCTTGGTTTAAACATTGTCAGAGAGGAGACTTGTCTCACATTTTCAGGAAGATTGTTCCAGATTTTAGCAGCATGAATCTGAAAAGCAGTCTCCCCATGTTTAGTTCTGACTCTGGGCACTAACAGGAGTCCAGTCCCTGTGCTCCTCAGAGTCCGGGCTGGTTCATATGGGACTAACATGTCACTAATATATTTTGGTGCGAGGCCATGGAGAGACTTGTACACAAGCAGAGCTGTTTTAAAGTCTATTCTCTGAGCCACAGGAAGCCAGTGCAGAGACCTGAGGACTGGACTGATATGGTCGTACTTCCTGGTTCTAGTCAGGACTCCAGCTGCTGCATTTGGAATGTACTGTTTTACAGCCTGTTTGGACAGACCTGTGAGCAGGCCATTGCAGTAGTCCAACCTACTGGAGACAAACGCATGAATAAGAATCTCCACGTCTGCTTTGGACACTATGTTTTTGATCCTGGCAATGTTGTTTAGATGGTAAAAAGCTCCAGTATTACCCCTAGATTTTGACCTGGTTTGAAGGTTTTAGGGAGAGAGATTGTAGGTGACAGATGACGCTCTCTCTTTGCTTCTGGGGACCAAAAACAATCATTTCGGTTTTGTCTGTGATTAGCTGAAGGAAGTTGTTTTGCATCCACTCACTGATCTGTTGGATACAGTGAAGGAGTGAGTCCACTGGTCCATGTTCTCCTGTAGTAAGTGAGACTTCGATCTGAGTGTCGTCTGCATAGTTGTGCAGGACACTTCGTTTCTGCGTATTAACTGACCTAACTTTATTGTAGCATGTAGAGATTGAACAGAAGAGGTCCAACTATCGACCCCTGTGGTACTCCACAGGTCAGGGCCATTTGATCAGAGACAGTTTCCAATCTCCACAAAATACTGATTGAAGATTGAAAAAATGGTGTAGATCACAATTTTTGACACCTGATTTAAAATTGAAAGACACTAATTATATGCTGTGTTGAAAGGCAGGAACAGAAAGAAGCTTTTACCTCCCTCACTCATGTGTCCTCATCTTTCACTGCAATCGGATTCAATAAAACACAGAACAGAAATTTTGCTATAGAAATATTGTTTTAAATCATACCAGACTGTAACTAAAGTACTGGTCCAATGATCTGGGATAGTTAAGTGTTGACAAAAGGTCACTGGACTTACAGCTCCAGACGAAAAGTAAACTTAAGGACCGTCAGTCTGCTTTTATCCCGCTTTATAATATTGCTACTACTTCTCAGCCCTCTTCTTTGTCTTTGGACTTGTTGCTGTCATCTTCGCTAAGTAAAACACTTGCCGACTTCAATTCAAGTCACTGTAAAATTAAGACAAAAGTAAAGCAAACATTGAGCAGGGATACATTTTGTCATACTGGCCAACTCCTCACATTACAAAGCCCGCCTTTCCCCAAGTACTGTTAACACCACCTCTAACTACAGCAGTGGCAAGTAGGGCTGATGGAAACAGGGGTATATGGATGTTTTACATTAGCCAGACCCTTGTAGTTCGCTGAGCTTCACACGAGGGTCTGGATCTGCTTCATGAATTTTAGAAGGAAAAAAAATCCTTGCATATGATTGGATAAACCACTTGTCTGTTATCTTGAATGACGTGTTCCTTCAACCACTCACATCAAAGCACACGATCCGGAACTTTACTCCCATGGGTTGCCAAATGCTGGCAAGATTTTCCAGCCCAAAACCCGTGAGAATGCCCAAAAAAACACCCAGAATGATTTTTTTGGCTACTAACGTAATGTAATCAAATTGGGCTATCATGATTCTGTTTATTTATTACCTACAAGTCGCTTGGGAAAAAAGTATGCGGAAACCACCCAACCTGGCAACCCTGCTGCGTAGTGTGACAGGAACACCTAAACTACTACTTAAACCACACTTTACATGAACATTTGACTCTTAAAGGAGCATTATGTAAAAATCTGGCCAAAAGTGGTACTGCAGACAGTCAATATTTTGTAGTCCTCTCCCACTCTCCCTGACTCAGGTTGCCAGATACACACCAAATCCAGCAGCAAACACAAGGAAATATTTTATCAGTCGTTTGTCTGTCTCCATTCACATTGCCATGATCACCGTGCTAATGTTGAATGAATGTTTTGAATGAATGTTTTTTTTATTTTATTTTTATTTGGACATTTGAGATGAGAAAAACAAAAACAAAATAAAAGCAATGCAATTATACATAGATTATGCAAAATAAATAAGCAATTGATGTCCAAAATATAGTGGGAAGAATTGATGTTGGAACATATTTCTTCAGTGTATCAATATCAGGGTTTCCTCCAGAGGATGTCACCCTTCAATTTTATTTATTCCCTATTTTTTAGACATGTATAAGTCCCAAATCAAAGAGAGACTAATTGGGGTATACAGTGCCTTGCGAAAGTATTCGGCCCCCTTGAACCTTTCAACATTTCGCCACATTTCAGGCTTCAAACAAAGATATAACATTTGAATTTTTTGTCATGAATCAACAACAAGTGGGACACAATCGTGAAGTGGAACGAAATTTATTGGATAATTTAAACTTTTTTAACAAATAAAAAACTGAGTAGTGGGGCGTGCAATATTATTCGGCCCCTTTACTTTCAGTGCAGCAAACTCACTCCAGAAGTTCAGTGAGGATCTTTGAATGATCCAATGTTGTCCTAAATGACTGATGATGATAAATAGAATGCACCTGTGTGTAATCGAGTCTCCGTATAAATGCACCTGCTCTTTGATAGTCTCAGAGTTCTGTTTAAAGCGCAGAGAGAACCATGAAGACAAAGGAACACACCAGGCAGGTCCGAGATACTGTTGTGGAGAAGTATAAAGCCGGATTTGGATACAAAAAGATTTCCCAAGCTTTAAACATCTCAAGGAGCACTGTGCAAGCAAATATATTGAAATGGAAGGAGTATCAGACCATGCAAATCTACCAAGACCCGGCCGTCCCTCCAAACTTTCATCTCAAACAAGGAGAAGACTGATCAGAGATGCAGTCAAGAGGCCCATGATCACTCTGGATGAACTGCAGATAACTACAGCTCAGGTGGGAGAGTCTGTCCATAGGACAACAATCAGTCGTGCACTGCACAAATCTGGCCTTTATGGAAGAGTGGCAAGAAGAAAGCCATTTCTCAAAGATATCCATAAAAAGTCTTGTTTAAAGTTTTCCACAAGCCACCTGGGAGACACACCAAACATGTGGAAGAAGGTGCTCCGGTCAGATGAAACCAAAATCGAACTTTTTGGCCACAATGCAAAACGATACGTTTGGCGTAAAAGCAACACAGCTCATCACCCTGAACACAACATCCCCACCTCAGCTGTAGTTATCTGCAGTTCATCCAGAGTGATCATGGGCCTCTTGGCTGCATCTCTGATCAGTCTTCTCCTTGTTTGAGATGAAAGTTTGGAGGGACGGCCGGGTCTTGGTAGATTTGTAGTGGTCTGATACTCCTTCCATTTCAATATAATTGCTTGCACAGTGCTCCCTGAGATGTTTAAAGCTTGGGAAATCTTTTTGTATCCAAATCCGGCTTTAAACTTCTCCACAACAGTATCTCGGACCTGCCTGGTTTGTCCTTTGTCTTCATGGTTCTCTCTGCGCTTTAAATAGAACCCTGAGACTATCAAAGAGCAGGTGCATTTATACGGAGACTTGATTACACACAGGTGCATTCTATTTATCATCATCAGTCATTTAGGACAACATTGGATCATTCAAAGATCCTCACTGAACTTCTGGAGTGAGTTTGCTGCACTGAAAGTAAAGGGGCCGAATAATATTGCACGCCCCACTTTTCAGTTTTTTATTTGTTAAAAAAGTTTAAATTATCCAATAAATTTCGTTCCACTTCACGATTATGTTCCACTTGTTGTTGATTCATGACAAAAAATTTAAATGTTGAAAGGTTCAAGGGGGCTGAATACTTTCGCAAGGCACTGTATGTGGTCTCAAATGATTATTTTTATAATTAAGCTATAATCTGCAAAAAACGTCTTGATTTTTGTCTTTAACCGTTTTTTGAGCATTCACATAGAATGTGATATTAAATACAAACAGATTCCTCCCGGACTACTTTAAGCGCTATGACTTAACCATTAGACCACCATTGCACACAATAATAAGTAAAATCACAGGAAACGTTTTTATCCGCTGTCTCAGGTGTTCCAAAATAAATCCTCGTTTTAGTCTTTGTTTTGTCATGACTGATTTCATAACAAGACCTTTTTTAGTTCTGCGGCCACATGTTATTTTACCAGTGAGATTAGCTAGCCGCGGGGAGTTCTGGCAACCCGGACCAGACTTCCTGACTGGTGAAACGGCGGAGGGTGGGACATCAAAATGAAAACAATAACAACTTTTACGGTTCGTAAAACTAATTTTGATATTAAAATATCTCGGCTGAACTACTGTTTTCAGTTAAAGATGTATTCGAAAAGAGCATTATTTAATAATGCCTTTTGAAATATTGGGGCCATTTAATTATGACTTGACATGCAAATATCACATAGTGCTACTTTAAAACACACATTTAACAACATGGAACCATCAACATCTCTCCTCATACTGCAATAAAAGTGTCTTAATTCGTTCGTATTTAAACTAGGGATGTAAAAAACTATGCATTTTCATGACCGACCACCGAGCCTCATTAACCGGTTGAAACCGGTTAACCACGTAGTTTAAAATATTCCACGTTCTTTGAAATAGCAGCCATTTCGAGCCGCGTACTTTTCATAAGTTTATCTATGCGTTCTACTAGATCAGAGCTGAGACAGCGGCGCCAAAACCCGCAACAGCTTCGGCACCTTTGCGCACAGAGAACTGCTTTTTTAATCTTCCCATACTGTGCTGCCGGTTAAAGCATTTTTAAGCAAAAGACGGCTTGTTCACATGGTCAGAGCAGCGAGTTACACGCTGCGTCTCGCAGGTCTCCGCTAAAGTTTAAAAGTGATGTGTGTGGATCTGATCTAATGACAAGGACCAGCAGCACAAACATGTTTCATGTGTTTGACTGGGGCCGCGTATTTGCGAGGATTCTTTGGGCTGCGAGACACAGAGGTGCGCGACAGACCGGTATGTGTGTGTGTACAATACATGTATGTATGTGTGTGTAAATATAAGCTCCAATGTAGTTCTGACCTGCACTAGTGTGGAACTTTGGCGGTAACAGAGGGGAGAGATGATGCGTGTGGATGTTACGTATGGAGGGGGGGAAAGTATTTGTGTATGTGTGTGTGTGTGCGCGCGCGCGTGCGTGCGCGTGGCTGCGTGCATATGTGGAGCGTGCGCCACGAAAATCGCCCGTAGTCTATTAATGCATTGGCGCACACAGCTAGATACGGACCCGCTCGTCACATCGTACAAATAGGGCTTATTAATAGCCTTATTAAGAGACCTCCCCTCTCCGCTTTTTCTTATTTTTAACCGACAGCTTTGACCGGTTAACGCTGTGACGGTCAACCACCGGTTAAACGGTCACCGATTTACATCCCTAATTTAAACTTTTTCGAAAATTCACGGATTTTATGTCTGCCATCTTCACGCACGAGAAGGCGGCTCAAACCCGACGTCACACCAGCAATCCCGATTGGCCAATAATTTTTTGATCTCCTGAAGAAGTTTGCATTGGCGTGAATCCCAGACCCTTGTGTTCAGCCAAATGCCTCTGGTGGAGCATGCCAGAACTACAAGGGTCTGGTGAGAGTCAGGCTAGTTTTACATTGCATGAGTGCAGATTTGCCTTCAAACACACAACTTCTTGAGCCCAAATACTTACCAACAAGTCCATGTCGGTGATGGCCGCTGGAGCAAAAATTGTCTGAACCATGAATTTGTGTTTGTTTTTCTCGTTGGGATCATAATCGAACGGCTGCAACATTACTGTGGGCGGAAAAAAAAATGCGATATTAAAATTTCACTACATTCAAATACCATATATACTTCATATCAAATGAAAGTGTGGCCCTCTGCCTTGCTAACACAATGTATACATTGAGGCACTTCCACAGTGTCATACAGCCAACATCACGACCTATAGAGTCCACCTTTGGAATCCAGTTGTTACATCTTTTGGAAATCTAGCTTCTCCTTTAGGGGGGTTAAACTGTGGTACTCTCTCCCCACTAGGCTAAAACTACAGACTAACATGACCATCTTCAGCAGAGAGCTCAAACAGTGGTTAAGATCCAGACAGAGTTGTTCTCACATGTAAATTATATTGCAATTCTTTAAAATGTATTTTATCTTCTGCACTGTTAAAACCTCCTGTGGACTAGTGTTGAAAATTTGCACCTGTGCTATAACACAACAATGCATCTGGTCCGTCCAATGTTATTATTTCCACATTAAATAAATAGATAAACTTATTTATATATACAGTGAAATTAGTTTTTGATTGCGTCACAAAAATCTATATGTGGCGCTAATGGAGTGAATCAATATGGACAGGTTATAACTAGGGCTAGGACTCGATTAAAAAAATTAATCTAATTAGAGCCTTTGTAATTAATTAATCTCGATTAATTGCATATAAATATTTTTCCTGAGAACAGTGAGTGGTATTTTTTTTTCACATGGATTTTTAGATTACCATTGAATAATGACTGAATACATAAGCTTAAGCAACACATGTTAATTGTGGAGGATCAGACGGACTTCTTTCCCATCAAATAACGTTTCTGTCATCGCCTCCACACACTGTCCACAACATACACTTCTTAACCCTTTAGGCGCCGGAGTTTTTTCAAGAAAATATACAATTTTGAGGCTATAACTTTAAAATGGTTTGAGATAAAGGAAGTGCATAAGAAATATCTTCAGTTTGAACCAAACTTTGGGATGGAAGTTGAAATGTAAATTATTGTATAAAGATTTCAAAAAGCTGTAGCTTGGGAATTTTTTTGAGATCAGGGAATACTCAACACTTCTAAATTCACTTTTGTGGATTATTTTCTCTCAAGAACTGCCTTCATACTCATCATTGCCGTTGGAACAGGCAGTGAAGATGATTAGCGATGTGTTTTTTTTTTTAACCGCGGCTTCTGCCACGTCTCCCGTGGATGTTTACCCCCGCTACTTTCTCCCACATGCCCGGTGTTATGACCCCCCTGTCCCCTCCACCACGGCCCCTGCCTGGCGTTCACGGGATGCTTCCACCGCGGGTCCGCGGAGATGAAGCAGCCGCTGTACAGGGGCTGATTGTGGACTATGGAGCGCGGTCTCCCCGTCACCAATAATAATAAAATAATAGAGTAAAAGAAAAAAAGCACTTTCCCTCTGCTCTCGATCCGCTCAGTAAAACTCAGTAATAGCAGCTCACACACCTGTGTCTCGCTGCTCCTCCTCTTCGCTCTTTCCTAACCCTAACTCACTCAGAGTTAGAGTTGGTCTATGCTTGTTATAATGTACTTTTGAACAAGAAAAGTCACGGAGCTCAGTTGAATCTCCAGTATAATCGGTCCGTCTGAAACTCATCCTCCAGTGAGGAACGTTCTGCGGTGGAAAATACACATTCTGTGGCGTTAATTAATCGTAATTAACGCGTTGAAGTTTTTTAAAGCACTGAACAGCCCTGGATAAGTCTGGTCAACTAAAGTGGCCCTCCTAAATGTTTGGACAACTCTGCAGACGTCTATAGTATAGTCATTTTTCTCCATCAGCTCTTGCGTGTTACATTAGCATGAAAATTTGCAGCTCATATTCAAGTACGGCCTCTATGTTGGCAACATTTACTTTACTTTGAACCCTTTAGATCTTGGCAAAATATCTACCAGTACTAGCAATATTTCTGACCAACATTGGGATGCAACTTTTGATATCCTATATGTTTAAAAAATGTAGGTACAAATATAACAGAGTTACGTTAAAGAAGCTATACCCAATTTATTTTGTAATGAGTTAATAAAAATGCTTATTACTACATACAAGTTGTATTATAATCTGTAATTTAATTGAAAACTTTAATTGATTCAGATTGCGTATGAATTTAGGCAGTATAAAAGTCTCCTCCACTCACAGAACGAGGCTGTGTCTTCTAGCCTCTACAACGCAATTAGCAGAAAGTGGCTATAACTTCTCTTGCTGTAACTGCATACACAGCAAAACAGCCCAGACGACACAACAGTGAGGCAGAGAAGAGGGAACTAAAGCAAAATAATGATCAAAGAAGAAATCAAGCCCGGGTGAACATAGTTGGCATACATCGTAATAATCTGGAAAGATTAAGGCCTATGGGAAAAACCTGCGGGTGCGGACCACCTCGGAGTACATTGGGACGCGAAACTAGCAGTAATCTTTCAGTCATATATTGTGTTAGCAGTGCGTGGCTTTTGTACCATTTCATCAGTGATTGTTGTACAGCTTACAACACGTTTGCATACATATCAGATCGCAAATAAAACTAGATGGCTCCGTGGGATGAGAGCGTAGGGGGAAAAGAAGCCTGTGAGCGAGTTGAGAGGCGGTGTTAAACATTCAAACCTTGCAGAAACGGGTATAGCTCCTTTATATATATATATATATATATGTAATAACACTAGGTTAAATCCTCCAGCTCCAGTAGTCCTGACCAAGCCGAGCATCAACCTCTGGAGATGGGTTCCCGGGCGCTACAGCGACCACTGCCCATGACGTAAGCCTTAGCGGCATCAGGATGGGTCAAATACAAAGGATGAATTGCCCTGCGGGGATCAATAAATTGTACCTTTACCTTTAACTTACATACACAATTTCCACACATTTCAGAAAATGTGAGGAAATTGTATGTATGGCTATGTATGTGTGTTATAATTGCAATTCCTGTATTTGAACTGTTTGATTCTCTGATCTGTGTTGGCAAATTTTTTCAAACTTTAGACAGAATCTTATTTTAATTTTAGCCTCAGAGGGTAGAACAAGTGACATACGGCCAATGTTATACTGATAAAGCCTTTCCACCGTTTTATACCAATGGAGTAGTTTCCAAAAAGGCAGGGGTATTGTTTTTGCATATGCGGTGGAAAGTGATCTAAGCTCCGTGGACATGTATACAGGACGCAGCCAGATGAGCTGCAGACAGAAGCTGCTCATGGTCAAATTTCACTCATTTGCTCTGCAATGCACCTCGCCTAAAATACACTAAAGAACGCACGCTGTATGTTCCTGCGCGTTGGTGAGCTTGCACCAAATGGAAAAATTGTTTAGCACACGTGGATGTATACAAGCTGACAAACATGCAATGTACAATACATTGCATGTTTAGTCAGTATTTAGCATTTGGGCTCTAATTTGTTTTCTTTAGATCAACGTACATATTGTCTGTACCATTCCTTTGTCTCCATAGTGTGAACACACACTGCCTACTTTAAGTCACTGTGCGTAATGCCCCCCCCAGGAGGCTTATCAGAGCCCCACAAATATTAATTGTTATAGTCCTCAGAGCTTATCATGCCATGTCGGTTGTGTGGATCTTATGAAATCATGCAGCTTGCATTCAACTGTGTTCCACTGTGTTTCAAAATGTATTTTATTTTATAAGGTAACAGGTGCGGCAAATTAACGGGTGTGTTACAACACTAGAGAAGTACGATATACATCGTCCTGAACATGAAGCACAAGCATGTCAGATATATTAAGGGCTTGAGAAACAACTAAGGATTTTAAAATGAAAGGAAAGCCACATTTTGTGCACACTGGGCTCTATAGTTTAAAAATAACTTCATATTTTTCATCATTACCAAAGCAGGAAAATGTAGTGATAAAACATGCTTTAAACAGGGGTGAGGTTCAGAATTTAACCCCTTCCTCTCAGAACACTGTAGTCGCGGCTCACCTGAGATGTTGATGCTGCCCCCGACCTCGAGCATGCCACTGTTGGGCCGTACACAGTATCGGCGCGGAGCTGTGGTCTTCACTTTGAAACACACTTTCTTGTCCGACGGGTTACTCAGTTTCAGTGTGGTGGTCACAACGTCTGTGAACGGACCTGGGGAGACAACAAAGTCAAAACTGGAAATAAAAGATCTGTCTTCTAATTCAATATACACAGACATATCTTAAAAGGCATTAAAAAGTTACATGCAACCCAGGGAAACACAACATTGGTTTAACATTTTGATGTATAACATTAAAGTGATAGTCTGTAACTTTAGGAAATTTGTTAAATTGACCTTCTGGCCTTAAATGTTGATATAAAATAAGTCATTTTATTAATTCTAATATAACAGGTAAGTCCCGCCTTCCCTTCTCTTAGCTATAGCTCAGAATCCACGGTGCCGTCGAGGTTAACCAATCGAGTCATGCCAAGGGCTGTCAATCATCGGCGCTGATGCTCGCAGCTGCGCACATGCTCAGTTGTTTTCGCGGAGCCTCCGAATCAAGCCTCTATTAGGCTCTGGAACAACATGAAAACTGAACAAAGAATTCTGAACATCCGCGTTGAGGTACTCGTGTATATACTGAACCTATATCCATAATCATGTATATACTGAACCTATATCCATAATCAGATCCTCTGCAGATGTGTCCTATTGTGCAATTCATGATAATAGCTTGTTCCGGGTTTGCCGCGATCGCTTTTTTTGTGCATAAAAACATTATTTTCTTCATTAAAACGTTAACAAATAATTCTGAAAACCTCCGTGCATGTGTTTAATAATGTATATGTATGTGTTCTCTGATTAACATGTAAAAGTGTTGCGGAAACGTAGGTGTAGACCAATCAGAAAGGAAGGGGGAGGGAGCTTGCGTCTTTTTTTTTTTTCAAATCAAGCACCTCTCTCTCTGACAAATTCCAGACTATCACTTTAAATAATATATGTCATACACCCTAAATAACAAATCACTAGTGTACACAGTCAAAACCACAAAGAAAATTCATGAAACCCAAAAGTCTAAATCTAATAAAAAATGGTGGTGAGATAATAATTAAAAGAAATTGTTCAGCGGTTTATGAATGTAGTATTCAGTATTTGTGGTCTTCTGATGGCTTTAATAAGTTTAAATAATCAAGACCACTATCATATTACAGCTTATAACTTTGTGAATTTACTTGAACAAATAATTTGCTTTACAAGAAAGGGAAGATTTGGTAATTATATTGACAAATAACTACCACCTCGTGCCTCGTGCAGCACGGCTGCAATTTTCTCATCTTAAGTGTAAACAATGAGTAGACAAATAATGAAAATTATTCAATGATATTCAAGACTCAATTAGCTGATTATCGGCACAGATATTGGACAGTATAGACAGCACTGTCATAAATCATTAGTGTAGTCCAGCCAACTGCACTGATTAGTAACATGCTAGGGTGCCTGGCTTCATAATTCTCACGATTTGGTTCGAACCACAATGCAGGGCCCACAATGCCTCTGCTCCACGGCTTCTGGATGCCTTTTTTGCTCTTCCTGACAGCATGTGGCAGACAGTGTGCTGAGCCCGGATATCAAAGATTGTGTCTTAATAGGGGGAAATTAATAAATCGTACATTGGTTTTCAGAATCATCAGTACATCACAGATTCGGAACCCAATTATTTAAACCTCACAACTTTGACACTTTAACAACAGTTCCTCTACTCCTCGCTGCTAAACAGATCATGTCCAAAGAGAGATGGACAAGCAGCTCAATCAGGCTCAAAACACTGCATGTGTTTGAAGGGAATTTGAATTGCTGGCTCTCTCCTCCTTTGTGGAGAGGAAAAACCGTGCAGCTTTTTTTGGTGCAAATGTTCAAAAAGGCCTTTAAAACAATTAGTAGAAAAAGAGGTTTAGCTTAAGTGAGATAGACGTGATTAGGGGAGACACACGAGCACAAGAGGCAATTTGTCAAAACTGTAACATGGATTTTTTTTTCATGTTTTGAAGCAGTTTTACTTGCAGACACATACATAAGTACATTTCTGTCCTGGTTCTACAGCCAGAGTCCTGGATCTACAATCTACAGCCTGTGCATCAGTAGGAGCAAATCCCTCCCTCAATGTGGGCCTCCAAGGTTTCTCACTTTTTTTATTATTTATTTATTTATTGAGTCATTCCACAGTGATGATCCAGGCCATATATAACAATTTATGGACATGAGACATCGTACTGCCTATGGACCAATGGCTCCAGTATGTTTTTTCTCTGATCTGTCCTCCGAAACAACTGCTGTTGTGATAGAGGTATACAAAAGGTTGGACACCACTGGCCTTTAAATCAGCTACCCTTTATCTGTGATTAATAAGGGTAAGCAAGTTTTGAGAGAAACATCGAAAAAATAAGTTGTTTTCCTAGATAATTTGATAGAGATTTGATTCAAAAAGCCCCCGCTCTTTTGTTATTTCTTGGGAAAAATATGAGTTGACAAGGAAGATGTGAAATTTGACAGTTTTTGTTTCATGTGGATTGGTGAGAAGTGACGAGGAGACGGCACAGTGCATAATGGGTCCTCAATTTCTTTTAGTGGGATGCAGAATGATTAATAATCCAAAAGACTTTTTTTCTGTGCACCACTGACATTTTCCCACTGTGGGACAAATAAAGGATCCCTCTATATCTCTTAATCTTAATACTACAAAAGGAGACCATTGGTACAGTTTCACGTTTTATTCTGCAGTGAGAGTCATAAATCTGTTGGAGATCTTGAACAAATTACTTCGGAAGGGTCGCACATTTTTTTAATGGAAATGATCATTTAAAACAATTGTGAAATACTTGCAGTAGTTGCAGGCATTTGAATTAATTACAATAAGAAGTTAAATAGAAAAATAAATTGAGAAGTTTGTTTAAGTAATGAAACTTTTTTACCAATAGGAAATAATTACATTCTTATGGCTGTTCTTTCCTTTATCACATAATTTCATAGAAAATGTCCCATGTCCCATTAGAGATCAGTGGTTGTGTACAAAAACAGCTTCTTCACCTTGTGAATGACATTTATGAATTAGGATCTTAAAGTGGTTCTCACCCCCGCTCCTCGGAGCTTACGTCACTCACATTTCCTGTTCAAATCTTCCTCTAAATGGGCGTAGCCTGGAGGACTGAAGGGGGCGTGAACGAGACTGGGCCGTTTACATTGCTCTGGGCGGGGGGCTGCTGACGTCAGGTCCAACTTCTGTGCCAGTGTTGGCGCCAGATTCAAAATTCAAATGTAGTAATACAGGTCGCCAGCAGATGGCGCCTCACAGACGGTTTTAGGCAGAAAGTTTAACTTTCAACTAATTTGCACCAAAGTGACAAGATTATGACCAGGATATGTAGACAACACTATTGGACACTCATTTATACCGTTTATCAGCAAAAAAAAGTGGATTTGAGGGTGAGTTGTCCTTTAAACTTGTTCAAAAAACACGCAGAGGCCGGTCGACGCCAGGGAGTCACAAATCACAAACCAGATCAGAACAATTAGAAGAGCTCTGTCCCATGATGGAAAGAGCTGGGTTACTCAGAGAGTTCAAATCTGAGCTACTCATTAGTAGGAATAACATCCATTAGGCCTAACAAGGAACAAGGAACATTCTATGTGTTAAAAATTACAAAAACCAATGAATTAATAACATAACCATTCAAATCCACACCAATTTACTGCGTTTCTTTATGACTCCTGAGCGAGCTCATAACTTGAGAAGTTTTGGATATTTTTCATTGCCGAGATCAAAAACCACTTGTAAATGTTTTTATTTGTATGTGGAGTAAAACTTTGGAACAAACTGGACTCTCAACACAAGCAATGTAAAACTATTCATTGATTTAAACTGTTCTATAAACATAAGCTCTGGTCACAATATAGAGATGAGGGTCTTTAATTTAATCAGATTTTCTCTATCTCATAGTGTAACATGTGCTCAATGTCCCTTTACCATTGTTGGTATATCAACTCTTACTATTGTTGTTTTGTTTTTTTCGTCCATTACCATTGTTGGTATATTATCTATTACCATTGTTGGTATATTGACTCTTACGATTGTTGTTTTCTTCTTTTTCTTTTTTGTTCATTACCATTGTTAGTATACTATCTATTAAAGTGATATTCATTTTGAGTTACAGACTTACAAATTTTAGAAAAATGTGTTAAATTGACCTCCTGGCCTTAAATTTTGATACAAAATAAGTCATTTTATTAATTCTAATATTACGGGCAAGTCCCGCCTTCCCTTCTCTTAGCCATAGCTCTTAATCCACGGTGCCGTCGAGGTTAATCGAGTCATGCTAAGGGCTGTCAATCATCGGCGCTGATGCTCGCAGCTGCGCGCATGCTCAGTTGTTTGTTTTCGCGGAACCTCCGAATAAAGCCTCTATTAGGGTCTGGAACTTCATGAAAACTGTACAAAGAATTCTGAACATCCGCGCTGAGGTACTCGTGTATATACTGAACCTATATCCATAATCAGATCCTCTGCAGATGTGTCCCGCAATGTTCAATTCATGATAATAGCTTGTTCCGGGTTTGCCGCGATCGCTTTTTGTGTGCATAAAAACATTTTTTTCATTAAAACGTTAACAAATAATACACATGCACGGAGGTTTTCAGAATTAATAATGTATATGTATAATGTGTTCTCTGATTAACATGTAAAAGTGTTGCGGAAACGTAGGTGTAGACCAATCAGAAAGGAAGGGGGAGAGAGCTTGCGTGTTTTTGTTTTTTTTTTTCAAATCGAGCATCTCTCGCTCTCTCTTTCTGACAAATTCCAATCACTTTAACATTGTTGGTATTAATTGTTGTTACGATGTAACTGTCATGGATGCCCGTGGTAACGCCATCATGATATAACACTGTAAAATAATGCTTGAACAAAGGAAAAGTGAAGTTGATAGTTTAATCACTGAATGGGGATAAAGGGGTGGGATTAAATATGTTTTTCTTCTTCCCACTCCTTTTCAGGCAGAATTATATGGCCACATTTATACCGTACATTTATTGTTTATACATTTTTTGTTTATACTGTTTTTTTCTTGCATTATATGATTTAACTGCATTTAATCACCTTGTTTACTCACCTGTGCCATTGCCTGAAATAAATGAAAAATGAATGAATGAATTTTGTAAATTCTTGCCACAATTAAACTTTCTTTTTTTCTTTTGACCTGTTGAGACTTGTCAGAGCACTTTGCTGACTTGTGGTTAAACTTTAGACTTGGATGAACTAGATATATAGATAGATACTTTATTTATCCCTGTCGGAGAAATTCAGGTGTCCAGTAGCAGCAAAAATAAAAATAAAATTGATCATTCTAAAAGCTAACAAAAGTAATAACAAGCAACATCCTTTTAGGTCACAGTAACAGAGGTGGAGTAGCCTCTGGGTGGAGCAGGACGGGTCACAAGGTGGAGTAGCCGCTTGGTTCGGACCATTTTCTCTACTCTAGTCCAAAGTAAAATGCTGAATGGTTCATTAACATTTTTCAAAAAGTTAGAATTCCTCCAGTGGATTTTCATCTGATCCACTTGATTCGGACCAGAAATCCTCTCCGCTCAGGTCTGGACCAGTGAAAAACCATGAACACTACAGAAGTAACATCTCAGGTAGAAAAAAAAGCAAGAAAAAGAAAAATGACAAAGCACAAAACAACTGTTTCAGAGCTACTTAGGACCTGCTGCCTTTTTCCAGCGCATTCAAAAGTAAACAAAAGGGAAACCGTAACTCACCTATAACATTAACATAAAAGTCCAGTAGATTTTAAAACAAAGTTAAAATAGATAAAATATTAACTTGATTGACTGCGAGCCATTTTTATGACCTCACTGATTTAAGACTCACAGAATATTGTGTGCTAAGGAGCAGAGGTTTAGCAGACGAGGCTAACTCCACCCACTAAAGCCAACTTACACCGTGAGCATGAATGAGCAGCGGTAAAGCAGGTGACAATGAAGACATTCCAACAAACTGGAAAAACCATCAATCTTCAGCACAGACAAAGATATGATCTACCGTACCTAGGAGATAGACTGAGCAGACAAAAGGTCTGAAAAAACCTAAACAGATATATTAATGGTTCATTAATAAAAAATGAATCAACCAAAATTGTATACAAATTTTGAAACAAATGTTAAGACAAGACAGTCCTTACCTGCTCTTTTGGGCCAGGGAAGGAATGGTTTAAAATATGGACCCTTGAACATGAAAAGATTTACTTTTGCATTGGGGTTGTGTCAATCTCCAAATAAAATGTACTTTTTAACAGGTAGCTGGTGTGGTTAGATGCACTCAAAAGCCCGACTTAGTAACCCATCGATAATTGAGAGAGAGGAATTGTGCAATAACAGTGCATGTGGCTGAAGAGTAGTCACAAGCAATGCAGACCAAAAATGTTAAAAGGGCAAAATATTTGAACAAAAAAAAAAAAACGAAACAAATTTGTTTGGAGCCACAAAAAATAACAGCCTTATTAGGGCTGTCAAACTATTACATTTATTACAGCTTAAAAATGAATTATCGTAATTGATCGCATTTCGAACTATTGGCAAAATGATTCCATATTTGGTTGTTGGATTGGAAAGATAAATGACAACATAGTGTAAATATGTACTGTATTTATTTATTATAACAACAATAAATGCACATAATGACAGTATTTTTTCAGCGCGACATATTCAGCTTCAGCTAAAGCCTCCACTTTCTTCTCTTTCTCCGTCGCATAAAGGCTGTAGATCCTATTCATTATTGTGCCTCTTGCTGGTGGTTTGTAGGATGGGTCGATGGGACGCTACCCTCAATGTTAAAAGCCTAGTGTATACTCGTGCGGCGCTGGTTGCGGTTGCACTGGACCTACGCTGCCCCAGTTGCTCGTACACTTAAGAGTTCGTAGCATAGTTTTGAATATAATGTTGTAATCCCACACCCAACCACATGATGGCGATCTCACAAGAGTTGCACGGGAAACCAAAGCGGTCAGTGAAGCAGGTGGGGACAGGAGGGTCCTGGACAATCTAACATCTATGCTGGACAATGACTGTCACCCCCTGCAGGACACTCTGTCTTCTCTGGAGAGCAGACAGAGGTCTTTCCTTCCTACTGCAGGTTTTTCCTTCCTGCTGCTGTCAGACAGTAAACATACTGCTGCTAACATAACTGCACATTTCTTGCACTAGAATACACAGTACTTTATACTTGCCTCCAATTGCCAAATGTAAAACTTTTACACTTTTTTTTTATTATCATTATTTTCAAGATTGAGTTTTATACTTGTTATTGATGCTAGAGTTAGATTTTGTTTTATTTTAATTAGTATAGCTATTGTTCACTTATCTTGTGCCGTGTGCTCCTCTTTCCTACAACTTGTGGTGCAACACTGAAATTTCCTCACTGTGGGACGAATAAAGGATCTCCTAATCTTAAAAGGAATAGGCCACCGTTTTTACTGACATATGTTCTTACCTTACCTTAGACTAGTTGATATGTACTCGTCTGGTCTTTGTCCGTGCGCTCTGTCATGCAAACGGAGCACAAACGCAGCCTCGTCCACATACTGTATAGTTCCAAATCAGCTCCCGTTAGAAGCTACCAAACTCTTCCACGTGTTCCCTATTTAAATACAGTTACGTGACGTGTTACATCTCTGTGTTACTATACTTTGTAGTGTAACATGTCGATTTTCTCAGCGGATACAAAGGGGTACTATATTGGGAGGCGTAATACGAGGAGCACTACGGCCGTGCACTAACTTCTAAAGACTTCTCTCAAGTCACGCTGCTTCTATTGACGGAAGTGAGCGGGAGAGAAGTCTTTAGGAGCACTACCTCGGCGCACTAACTCCTCGTATTATTACGCCTCACAATATAGTACCCCTTTTTATCCGCTGAGAAAATTGACATGTTACACTACAAAGTATAGTAACACAGAAATGTAACACAAAGTAACTGAACCTAGAGCTTCACGCGGTCTCATTTGGACGAACTAAGGTGTAGAATTATCCTCTGTAGTGCTCGAAGCACACGTAGCTAGTTAGTGTACCCGCCGCCATTGTTGTTTACGTTTGTTCTCGGCTACTACGCATGTCCAAATTTACGTGCGGGGAGCAGTGAGGAGTTGGGGGTCAGATCAAAAAGGGGAATTCACACCATTTTCCCTACGCGGGTGTGAAAGAGAGCCCCCGCTGAGCAGCGTATCTGAGGCCCTGTTTATACTGAGATGCTGCGCAGACGTTTCCAGGCTATTAACAGAAACGACCAGGCTCCTAATGCAAATTTCCCAGCGTTCACATGAGCTTGAAAAACGATGTAGTTCTAGCGCCCGGCCAGTAGTGGGCAGAGAAACTTTACAACACAACACACGACCCCCAGCCCCGTGCCCAGCCCCCCTCTCGGCAGTGTACTCACTTCCTGTACCAGACACTCAGAACGCACCAACATCATTCTGCATTTTAACAGCAGCTGTGAACATGGAAACTGAACCTAGAGCTTCGCGTGGTCTCGTTTGGGCTAGTTTGTGTGCGCGGCGCCATTGTTGTTTATGTTTGTTCTCCGCTACTGCGCATGTCCAAATTTACGTGCGGGGAGCAGCGCGGAGGTGGGGGTCAGAGCAGAGGGGGATTTCACACCTTTTCCCCTCTCGCGGGTGTGAAAGAGAGCCCCTGCTGTGCAGCGTTTCTGAGTTGTCCCACTCTGCAGGCTGGATCTGAACACTTACGTTTTCACCCGCCTGGAACACAGTCTCCGTATGAACGGGGGGTAGCAACCGACATCCAACTATAGCGTTTTACTGCTACAGTGTCTCGTGTGTCCGTGTAAACTGGGCCTAAAGGCCAGTGCACTCGCGCGGTGCTGGTTGCGGTTGCGCTGGACCTACGTAACCACAGTTGGTGGTACACTTGCGCGTTCCCCTTGCGGAGAATGTTGTAATCCCACAATCAACCATGTGATGGCGATCTCACGGAGCGGTCCCATTTACGCTACTTTCTCCTCTTAAAAGGAACAAAAACAATAGCAAACCAAGCTGTTTGAGATCATTACATGTGTTTCTACTGTAGGTTTATGTGACAGTTCAATGGATTCAACTCATTTAACTGATGTTGTGAATAAAGACACAGTCCTTGTTGGAAACAGTTATTATTAAATTCATTGTGCTGTATTCAGCACAAACAGCAAAACAATCACTGGTAAATATCAGACAAACATTAACTATTTACAAGTGCAGGAGGAATGCAACAGACTCGATGAGCTACGAGTGCAGATTCAAACAAAGACAGGAACAGTGCAAAAGAAACGACTGCACAGTTTATAAGTTATATATATATTAGGACTGTCAAACGATTAATTTTTTTTAGTTGATTAATTGCACAGTAATGGTGAGTTAACTCAAGATTAATCGCATTTTTAACATTCTATTTCAAATCCACTCCAATTGAAGTTAAATGAGATTTTTAAATGTAATGACACATTGTTATTCATACCAAATGTACTTAAATCTGTTTGACTTGCTCACAACCTTCTACTTTTGGGTACAACCAACAAGAGCTGTTAATGCAAGGGAAAATGTAGGTACCCCAGCTTTAATTTTGCGAGTTTGGTTGCATTTCAGCGTGTCTCCTCCTCTACTCCGTGTGTCACACAACATCAGAGAATGGCCCCTGTGCGTGTATATATATATGCGTGTATTATATGACCATGTTACCGCTATCACCATCACACACACACACACGTGTCCGTGGCATTCTGAGTGATATTATAAATGGGCGGGTCATTCGGACTCATTGACTGCCAGCCTATTTCAGAACAGGTACTCCCATATTGCCAGCCGTTTCTGAGGATTTTTACTGAATTTAAGACCCACAGAATATTGTGTACTATGACTATCTAAAATCCAAAACCAGATTCTGAAAGAATGGACTGTCTACTTTCATCAGCAAAATTATTATTTTTTCTAGCTTGTTTCGTTCCCCTGTAATCCGCAGTCGAATAGAGGTAAGTTTTATTGAAATCACCAGAAAGCTGAGAAAAGAGGCACGTGTGCATCTAGCTGTTTTCAAACCATTCGTAGAGCAATGCTGCCATCTGCTGGCTCGATAAA